TACTAAAAAATTTTCCACACTGCGCCTCCTCTGAGCCTCAGTGTGCTGATGTCTTTCCTTCTAGTTGAAGAGTCTCTCCTCAGCCAGTCCTGTGGTTGTTCTGGGTGATGTCCGTTCCGTCTTTTAGTTGTATTTTTGAAGTGGTTGTTTGCGGCAGTCTGCGGGGTTTACCTATGCCGCCATCTTGGTGGAGTCAATAAATTAAATTTTAAAAAAATCAGGTTCCAAGAAAGGAAGAAAGAAAGAAAAAGAAAAAGACGTGCAGGCTGGCCGTTCAGCGCAGGGCTCTCCCTGAAGTGCAGTGTGAGGCCCTGTGTAGACGTGGCAGCCTCAGGTTGTTGTTGTTGTTGTTGTTTTAATTTGAGCCAAATTAGCCACCAGGAGCCCTTCTTAGTAGGTGTCTTCTTTCCCAGGGTTCACAATACTAAATGCAAAGAGCACCCTGCCAAGCTCTGTAGATATATTTACTAACCTATTTAATAAAAGGCTAATAGGCAAACTGTCCCCTCGACCAGGAGTTCCACTGGGAGTCTGACCCGCTATGACGAGTGCTGACTACCAGGGGGCGGCAGTGAAGGTGCTGCCAGCCCTGATGGGCCCCGATGGGCCCGGGGAGAGTGAGACAACGTTGGTGGGGGGGATGGTGGAGCAGGTGAGCGGGCGGTGCCAGGCCAAGGCAGGTGCACGCAGGGGCCGCCAATCACCCCACAGACAGCGATCAGCGGTGGCAGCGGGGATTGAGGCGACCGATTATTTTTTTCATACTAATCCTATATAATAAAAGCCTAATGTGCAAATTGTCCTCTCGACCAGGAGTTTGACTGCTCGCTATGACATGTGCTGACCACCAGGGGGCGGTCTGGACCATGGTGGGTGTTGGCAACGCACTGTGACCTCTTGCCAGCTACCTGGGGGCGGGGGTGATGGGGACGGAGGTGTGGTGAGAATGTGGGGTGTCTGCCGAGCTCACTCGCACTCCCTCTGCTACCCTCCCCCGGGATGCCAGGGCTTGTGCGCCAGGGAAGCCCCTATGCTCAGGTGCCGGGCGCCCACAAGGAGCCTGCCCTGCACCCACGCAACCTCTTCTGGGTGAGCCAGGCTGCAGCCACAGGGGCCAGTTGGGCTTCCCGTGGGTTTGCGCAGGAGCTGGTCTGCGAGGCCAGCCAGGAGAGAGTGCGCTACCTGCCCAGCATCTGGGCGGTGCCGCTGGAGGCCCACAGGGCGCCCCTGCCTGTGGCATTCAGCCACGCTCACCGCATCTCCACATGGGGACTCAAGTGCTGTGACTCAGGCAGAGGGGGGCCCCCCAAACTTCCCGAAGTCCCTCCCCCCCACTGCCCAACTTGATCGGCCCCCATGGGGCAGGCCGGCTGGACCCCACCCATGCACAAGTTCATGCACCAGGCCTCTAGTGGCTCTATACAGTCCTATAAAACAACATATTTAAACCTGAGACTGCCACAGTTTTAGAATGTCTACCTCTGCTGCTCTTCCTCACTGTCTGCTTTTCCAGCCTTTCTCCGCCTCTCTCATCCCTCGGGCCTCTTCTCCCCTTTGTCTCTATCACTAGTGCCACCACCTCACCTGTCACCCAGGGACTATTCTCCCCACAGGGGTCAGCAATCCTGCTAATTTGTCAGCTTGTGTCATTTATTCACTTATAAAATTCTAATGGCTCCCATGTCTCTCATATAACGGCTGAAGAATGTAAGACACATGACCACAAAGACTTTGGACTGTTTAGGTCAAAATTGTATCTCAAGCACATGAAGCTATTTCCTGGTACATTCTAGGGGTTAAATTAATTATTGTCAAATGAATGAATGAAAGATAATTGTGTTAAAATTTAATTACATGACATAAAAGCCATAAAAGAAAAACAAAAAAAGTTAGGAAATAAAGGCTGTCCCAAAATTCAGGCAAGAAGTAATTTTGATAGAAAACACAGGTTTATAAT